TTCACTGTCCCTTTGTGTCACTGTGTGTCACTGTCCCTGTGTGTCACTGTGTGTCACTGTCCCTGTGTGTCACTGTGTGTCACTGTCCCTGTGTGTCACTCTGTGTCACTGTCCCTGTGTGTCAAACTGGGTCACTGTCCCTGTGTGTCACACTGGGTCACTGTCCTGAATGTGTATGTGTGTGTATGTGTGTGAATGTGTGTGTGTGTGAATGTGTATGTGTGTATGTGTATGTGTGTGAGTGTGTATGTGTGTGTGTGTGTGTGTGTCTGTGTGTGTCTGTCTGTGTGTGTGTGTGTGTATGTGTGTGTGTGTGTGTGTGTGTATGTGTGTGAATGTGTATGCACACACCCCTCGGTGCCTCGCTATGTGTTCTGAGCCCCCACATCCCGTCCCAGTCCACAGCATCAAGTGGTCCTGTGGGAACAGCAGCAGCAATGGCTCCTCGGATCTCTCCATCGAGCAGCTGGTGCAGCACATCATGGAGTCACAGCAGACCAAGCCGCAGCCCCGCACGCATGCCTGCCTCTGCAGCACGGCCCTGGGTACGCAGGCGGGTCGGGGGGCACCCTTATGGATATGATGATGAGTCAGACGCACAGGGCCTTATTGCACTCATTCATGCATTTATTCATTTGTTCATTTATTTTTGAGGTGCTCCTTTAATAGATGAAGGATGGTATTTTAATCTTGCATGACTCCAGAGCAAAGTGACGTATCCATGCTCGCACCCCCGCCCTGCCCCTTACTCCCGTTTCTCTTACAGCCTCCCCAGGGGCCAACATTCCCCACCGGTGCAACAGCACCAAGCACCGGATCATCTCCCCCAAACTGCCCCCCCACCCCGCCGATGTGCAGGGCCTGGCCTCCGCCAGCGAGGGAGGAGGCGGCCATGAGGCGGAGGGGAGCGATGCACCGGCGGGGGTGGGAGGCGCAGCGGGTGGGGCCGCGCCGGGAAAGGCCCAGACACCGGTGACGGTGGTGCGGAGGCTGGGCGTGCGGAGCCCGGCGGCCCCCCAGGACAGCGCAGGGGCCTCCCCCTGTTCCGGCGCCGACTCCTCCTCCTCCTCCTCTTCATCCTCCTCCAGTCCCCCGAAGCCGCACCAGGCCTCCCCTCTCACCCTTGGCAGCAACGGTGCTGCCTGCAACGGTTTCTATAGCAACCAGCAGAGCCTGGCAACCGTCACCTTGCCCCAGAATGCTGTCATCGTCATGACAACTGCCATCAGCCGAGCCAAGGACGGCGAGGACGCCAAAGGGGAGCGGGCGACCCCGGCGTCGCCCTGCCTGTCGGTGGCGCAGTCCGGCTGCCTGGTGCTGTCCCCCGTGCCCCCGAACCCCGACACGCCCCCGCCCCCCTCCGCCTCCGCACCTCACACCCCCGTCTCGGCCGCAGCGGCCGCCGCTTCCTGCCCCACCTCTGGGGGGCCCCCCACGCCCCGCACCGCCTGCCCCACCCCAGGCGTGGCCACTCTCAGCCTCACCCTGCTGTCCAGCCCTGTCATTGGTGGCCTCCTCCTGACGGACCGCCTCCTTCCCGGGGCCGACCCCCCTGCTTCCCTGTCCCTCCTCTCCCCACACCCTCCTTCTCCGTCCCCGTCTCCCCTCCCAGTGACATCTGGGCTCTCCCCGTCTCTCTGTGCCCACTCCCCCCCTTCCCTGCCTCCTCCTTCCCCTTCCCCGGGCCTGCCCTCCTCTGACACCCTCGTGGCTTTCGATCCGGACTCCTTCCTGAACAGCCCCAAGCAGGGCCAGACCTACGGGGGCCCCTCCCACCCACGCTCGCACCCCAATCCCTCCCCCACCCTGTCCCCGTCCTCGCAGGCCCCCTCGCTCGCCCTCTCCCTCTCTCCTGCCTCTCCGCCCTCGTCCTCCCCACCTTCCTCACTCTCCTCCTTCTCCTCGGAGGCGGAGCGTGGGAGGGACACAGAACGGGAGTCCGCCCCCCTCATCCCTACCTCCCCACACCTCTCCTTCCCCCTCTCCCCCTCCCAGCCCCCCTCTCCCATGCTCCCCCTCTGCCTGGAACCGTCCTTAAACCTGGACACCCTAAGCACGCTGGAGCCGGTGGACCCGGCCAGGGGGGGCAGCGTGCAGCTGGCGAGGGCTGGAGATGAGGGTGGGGGGCGATGCCTGGAGGGAGAGCCAATTCTGGGCCAAATGCTGTCCCCGAATCCATCAGAGGTGGCCCGAGATCCGGATCTTTCCGAGACGGACCTCAGCGGGCCCAAACGGACACGGGAGCAGTGGCCTGATAACCGGCTCCTGAAGGAGGAGGATCAGGAGCAGCGGCAGCTGTACCTTCTACAGTACAAGCCGCAGGAGGTGCTGAAAAGGGAGGTCCGGCAAGAGGAGTCTGAGCAGGCGGATGGGCCGCAGCGGCCGGCCAATCAGGGCCTGAAGAGGGAGGATCCCGGGCCCCAGCCGCCGGTGCTCCCCAAGAAGCAAGTGCTGCCGACGGGGGATGGGCGGGGTCTCGGGAGCTTGATGGTGAGCTTCAGGAACACCTGCGCGGGGACGGTCGGGCCCTGGGTTCAGGTGAAGGAGGAGTCCGCCTTCTCCTCGTCCTCCTCTTTGTCCACCTCCTCCTCATCATCTTCCCGCTTGAGCGGTTACGAGGCCGAGGAGACTCCCATGGACACCAACCACAGCGGGGACGACGTCGAAAGCGAGCAGGAGCCGGCAGCCCGGCAGTCCCCCTCCGGGCCCCAAGGGGGCGACGGCGGGCCGCTGGAGGCCGGGGCGGCGGCCGGAGAAGCCTTCGTCATCTCTTTCGACAGCCCCTTTCCGGACCTCATCTCTGAGCTCATGGCCGAGGACAGCCGGCCTGCCCAGAGCGGTCGAGCCACTTCCCCCTCGCCCCAGGCCCAGTCCCTGCCCTTCTGCTTTTCCTCCCTGTCTCAGCCCGTCTCTCTGCCCACGGCCACCGGGGGGCGCTATGTGGTGGAGTCGCAGGCCTTGCCCACACCATCCTCGCTGCCTTTTCCCTCGTTGTCCCCCTCGGCACCGGCTGGCGACCCTGACACTGACCTCCATGCCCTGGCCACCATCACAGACTTCTCCCCCGAGTGGTCCTACCCGGAGGTGAGGGATGTCCGGGGCTCGTGCCTGAATGCATAAATTAAAAGCATGTGCAAGAATTACAATACACAGTGTTCATAAAGACAATGTGCATGTATATTTAGACAAGGGTAAAACGGTGTTATGCATAGTACCAGTCAAAAGTCTGGACACACCTGCTTTTAATGCATTTGTCTGTTTTCAAGTCAAGTAGGTCTTTATTGTCATACCATTTATATACAATCCACAGCACACAGTGGCATGAAATAATATTTACACTCTTCAAAACAGCCCCCTTTTGCTTCGACGGCAGTGCTGCAGACTCTCGCCATTCATTCACCCAGCTTCCAGATGTAGCCACCTGGGATGCTTCTCCTACAGGCCTGAAGGAGTTTCCACAAGTTCAGTTCAGTTCAGTTTATTTTTATAAAGCGCCCCAAGGCGTTTACATGAGTTGTGATACATTCCTATATCATTTATACGGAGTAATTCAAAAATAGCATGCTAACATTATAGAAAATGCTATAGAAGTAGTTCTGGACACAAGCTTGCTCTTCCCAAACCAGCTCTATAGGGTTCAGGTGGGGGGATTGTGGGGGGGGCAGGTCACCTGTCACAGCACTCTGTCTTTTTACTTGTTCACAATATTATACAGTACTTATCTAACCTTGAGGTGTACATTGGGTTGTTACCTTGTTAGGAAGCAAATGATTTCCAGTAGGTGTGTCCAAACTTTTGATCGGTACTGATAAAATTGTCTGATTGGAGAATCAGCTTTCATAGCATGAGAGGTGNATCATTTATACGGAGTAATTCAAAAATAGCATGCTAACATTATAGAAAATGCTATAGAAGTAGTTCTGGACACAAGCTTGCTCTTCCCAAACCAGTTTTAGAGGGTTCAGGTGGGGGGGGTGTGGGGGGGGCAGGGTCATCTGTCACAGCATCTGTCTTTTTTACTGTTCACAAGATAATACAGTGCTTACATAACCTGGAGGGGCGCTTGGGGCCGGTATCTTGTTGGGAAGCAAATGATTTCCAGTAGGTGTGTCCAAACTTTTGATCGGTACTGATAAAATTGTCTGATTGGAGAATCAGCTTTCATAGCATGAGAGGTGAAATGCACTTCCGTCCTCTGCCACAGGGTGGCGTGAAGGTGCTGATCACGGGGCCCTGGACAGAGGCAATGCACCGCTACACCTGCATGTTCGACCACAGCACGGTGCCGGCCTCCCTCATCCAGCCCGGGGTGCTGCGTTGCTACTGTCCTGGTGAGGCCGCACGCGAGATGACAAACTCCCACCAGGCAATGTGTGTTGCTGGCATTAGGGGGCAGTATTGCGTCGCTACACATCAGAGGCAATACATCCAACTCACACTAGGTGGCAGTGCTGCACAGAAATTGCACCCCAGTGTGTCATAATAGTATTTGATTGTGGCTTCAGCGTTACATGTTATGATGCAGCGAGGGCGGACAGTTCCTGCTCTTTAGGGTATGAGGACACGCTGGTCTCCCTTCTAAATGCATCACTCAGTATTTCTGCAGTCCTTATTAGGGCCTTATCCCATCTCACCGGGTGTGAAACTGACAGTGTTTTAAAGGAAACTGCTGGGATTTCTGTCCCGCGTGATCAGTTCAGCTTGGGATGCATCTTAGTAGCAGCTCAGACATCCCATAATGGCAGCGGTTATTTGGCCTCCTTTGCCCTCTCTGTCTCCTCACAGCCCACGCAGCCGGCCTGGTGACCCTGCAAGTTCTGGAGGACACGGTCAGGGTCTCGTCCTCCGTGCTGTTTGAGTACCGCCCGCGCAGCGCCTCCTCCCTGCCTTCCTCCCAGCTCGACTGGCTCTCCCTGGACGGTGAGTTCGCGCCTCCTCATCCTCCTCTTCTCCCCTGCCTCTCCTGCTCCGGACATCTGCCGGCACACCCCGATTTCGGGGGGCCTCGTTTGTGGGAGGTCACAGTGAGGAGGCGTGGCGGATCAGAGGTGCAGGAGGAGGCCGATTCGGGAATAGAGGTGGACATAAGGAGGTGTCGGGAATTCTGCCAAGCTCCCAGCGCCGACAAACGTAGTTACAAGGTTTCCTGCCTGCGCGCTTTAAATGGGAATATCACCCTGAGACTGACACAGTGCCTCCACTGGCTCAGCGAGCGAGGAAATTAATTACCAGGGCAGTGCTGGGCCTAGGCGTTACAGTGTGTGTGTGTGTGTGTGTATGTATGTGTGTGTGTGTCTGTGTGTGTGTGTGTGTATGTATGTGTGTGTGTGT